CTCTAAGGGTTTATGAAACGAAGGGTATATGAAAAAAAGATGATACAAGAAACAAAAGGGTTTATTAATCTGAGATTTAAGGAGAAGGGTATATGATTTTATCTCCAAGGGTATTTTAATATGCGGTTTCGAGAAAAGGGTTTATTACTTTCGTACTAAGGGTATTTTATTCTACGGTCTCGAGAAAAGGGTATACTTCTTTCTTAAAAGGGTATTTTATTCTACGATGAGGGATTTATTGTTCTACTCCATCATCAAAAGGGGTTTTTATTCTTCGTTCAAAGGATCACACTTTTTCAACTTATATATATATATATATCATGAAAATTTCTCACAGGGCACTTCCAACAATTTAATATAATAAACATATTAATCCAATCATTTTCTCACAATGCTGCCATTCATGCATTGATACACTTTTCATTTCGTACCTGTTTTGTAAAACATAACGGTATGATAAAGAAGCGCTAATTTCTCTAATAAATTTTGAATCATTTCGAGCTAAACTTCAATCCGCACATTGTTTAAAAATCAAAATTAGATAGCTTAACGTGAGCAACTTCATACAAAAACTTTGAGTTAAATCAATCTGAAAGATATTATGGTGATTGAGGATTTATTCCAAACTCGCTGTGGTATTCAGAAAAAAAAGTTTGTTTTTACATCCATCCAAAACAACAAATTAAAGTAAGCATTTTGCTTCAATATATTTATTTTCTTCCTTTATTTGGTTGAAAATAAGCTCAAAATAATGTAAGTAATAGCATTTCAAAAATAATTTCAGTTTGTCTTTAATTTAGGTGAGTCGCCACAGCTAATGGAAAACAAGGATGATTTACTTATATATTTGTATCTTTTCTTTTATTTACTTGCATTAAAAATTCATAATGAAATGGAAGTATTAAAAATTTCTCTCTGATTATTTCGTTTTTTTATTTCGGTCCATTGATGCAATGTATTCAAAGTGAATAAATCGTTTCACATATGTCTTTATAAATGTTATATTTTTCTACCTTTAGTTCAATATCAAACAAATAGTGCAAGTATACAAATATTTTATAAATAGGTATTTCTTTTTTTTCCATTAAGATTCGCCGAAACTATACATGGGAAAGAGCTATGAAGATCGATTTCTGGCATATGGGACAACCCAGTCAGACAAGCACCTTAAAAAAATGCGTTACAGCGAATATATATTTTGACGCTTTCATGTTGTAAGACGTTAAAACATCTTAAATCTCTTAAAACCGCCGTATTTATGATTTCATGCATTTTGCATCTACATATTTTAATAGAATTTCTTACGACCCACACACTGTACACCTCTCCAGACAAATATGTGCTTTTTTTAACACATGTACTTATAAAGATCTAAAAAATTGATCAACAATTTTATAAAAGTATGAGAAATATATACGCTATAGATTTCTAGAAAAATAAGAAATATGTTAGAAAATTTTTCAAAAATGGAGCAAAACGTTTTTAAACCTTTTTAAAAATCTTTTTGAGGAAATATATTTCAAAACAAATCTTTCCTAATTTATTTGAACATTTAAAAAAATTATTTTTATTTTCAAAGAAATAATTTTTTAAATGCAAAATGTTTTTTTGTATCTTTTTATGACAATTAAAAATGTAATAACAATTGTTCCGCTTAGCTTTATATCATCTTCAGTTTCCTATAAAATTTCGTTTGATTTAAGTAGCATTTCTTACTTCATATTGATATCATACGACTGACCGAATGGATAACATCTTGGACTATGAACCAATACATCTCATGATCGAACCTAGGACAACGCAGTAAGTTCCAAAATTTTAATCGGATAGATAAATTACAAAAAATACGTTGTGATGCGCATTGTAAACACAAACGAAAAAGAATCATAGTGTACTCATTTGTTTTTGGATTCTTTTTTCTGAAAGATTGTTAACGCGGTTTTTAAGGCGCTTGTCTGAATAGAAATTGTAATAAACCCTTTTTGGGTATGGAACAAAAGTAATATACCCTTTGAAGGGTTTATGAAAGTGCAACGTATCATAAACCCTTTAAGGGTATATTAATATACGGTTTTTACTTACAGTGTAGGTCATAGCTACACTTTAAAAAAAACCCGAACTCTGTATCATAAAAAATGGCGGAGAAATTTGGGAAATGCAAAAGTTACATAGCTAAAAATCGTATGTTGAGAATAACGCAAAATAAGTTTGCAGAATGATTTTCGAAGGTTTTTTGGAACTAAGCTTTGTTAAATGAGTTTTTTTTAATATTTGCAATAGATTATCGATTTGAATGTGTTGGTCAGACCGTTCTGATGAAGATCTGAAGAAGTTTTTGCATTTTCTATGGTTAGAGTGTGCTAAATTGAAACCGATAAGAAGTGATTTGTACCGTAGGATTTAAGTAATCGAAGTTTTCATCGAAGATATTATATTCTATTATAGTAAGCAGGATTTAAAGCTTATCTAGAATAGATGAAAACAACTTAGAGTCTTTTAATGAAAATCTTTATCCTAGAAAGACTCTTTGAACAATTGCACAAAAAAGATACTCAAATTCAATCAGTTAATGAAAATTAACACATATTTCAAAGTCAATGTACTAGCGACATGTATCGCATACAATAATCCCTTTCACATACCCTCAAAGAATTTTAAAACTTATCGTCAATAGAAGTTTTCAAAAAAAGCACTCTCTCAATGAGTAGGGGGCTCTGAAAAAAATGAGTTTTTCACCATAAAAAAAGTCGTAAAATGAATAAGTCATAGTGCATTCGATAGCTCACATCATGCTCTATAAGGTGCGCTAGAAATCAAAAAATCGAAAAATTTGACGAAAATTGACATTTCAGGGT